TTTTCTGAATGGTACATTAAAGTTTCCTACTTCTCTAGTGTCATATCTATTTTTATTGCTTTTAAAAAATTCATTTAAGAAATGTGGTGGGACAAGCCCGAGTTTAAATTTTAGCATGAAGAGTAAGTTTTGGTAAATGTTAATTCTATAGACGTTTAGTGCATATATATATATATATATATATATATATATATATATATATATATATATATATATATATATATATATATATATTTATATATATATATTTATATGTACATATGAATATATATATATATATATATATATATATATATATATATATATATATATATATATATATATATATATATATATATATATATATATATATATATATACAGCGCCGGGCTTAGCTTTTTTGACAGGTTGGGCAAAACTTGTGAACGCGCCCCTAGGTATATATGGGTGGGTTGTTACCATTAACAACGAGACCAATGCTCTAAAATGATGAACAAGAGTGCTAAAGGGAATATATAGTTTAATGCAAAGAGATCCATATTTTGCATCAAGTTTCTTATTTAATTAATTTTTTATTAAAATTATAAATTTAGACTTTTCATGATATGGGTTTATAAAAATGAGTGGCTAAATAAATAAACAACGCAACGCTGCTTTTAAAATAACAAATGTTTTTATTAAACATATAATAAATCCTCTAACTATATAAACAAGAGTTATTAAATTTTAAAATCTAACTTTTCTAGCTTTTTTGTCCGCGAAATCTCTTATCAAACTAGAAAAATCTAAATTTTCAGCTATATCTTGCTCGATTGATAACATAGATAGAGAATTAAGTCGATCTTGCAACATGGTATTTCTTAAATATGTTTTAATTAATTTCAGTTTAGAAAAACTACGTTCTCCACTAGCAACAGTAACAGGTATTGTAAGAAGAATGCGCATAACAATCCATGTATTTGAATATAACTTGTAGACAATGTTTTTTTATAAAATTCAGTACAAAAAGTGGTGTCATCTCTTTTGTATTTATTTCATTTTCAACATTGCTTAATTTATCTTTAATAAAAAACTGCACACTTATTAGTTCGTCACATAGCAAAGCACCATCAATTTCTGATTTTGTATTTACAGTTACCCAGCCGGCACAATGACGTTGAAATAACGTTGAAACAACGTCGCAAACCGACCATATGCCACGTTGAAACAACGTTGAAATTTGGTTGAATTGGAAAGAAAATCCGACGTCGAAAACTACGACGTTGAAACAACGTCGATGATTACGTCGTTTCAACGTTGATCTAACGTCTTATCGACTACATATCAACCATATTTCAACTTTGAATAGGTGATATATTTGATTGATACGTAGTTGATAAGACGTTAAAACAACGTTGAATCAACGTTGATTTTTGTTTTTTTATTTTGGTTAAATCCAATTAACTAAAAAATTTTCTCAACTTTAATTGCAATAAAATAACACAATAAAAAAGCAATAATTTGCGCAGAGGATATTATATTTCACGTAAATTAATCAGATACAACTAAATTGCTTCAACGGACTTTATATACAATGCAAATAAAATAAAATGTTTGAAAAAAAAAAGTTTTATTTATCAGTAATATATTTATCAATTTATCAATAATAACTATTATTAATAGTTCCAGAACAACTAGGAAAAAGTATGAATGTTATACATCGGGTTTATCGCCTTTTACGCGCCGACCACCACCATTTGATCTGTCGAGTGCGTATTTTAATAAAGTCATTATTCCTTTTCTTATTTCGGCAACTGTAGCAGTCATTTTAATTGACAAAACTCTCTCTATAAAAAAGGTACTGCCTGAGTAACTTTCATCAAATACATCAAAAAGTTAAAAATAAAATAGCATTAAAAAAACGAACTGTGATTTTTTAAAAATATATAATTTTACACTTAACTTACAAGTAAATACCTAACGTTTGTTCCTTTAAACTTCTCTTTACCTTTACCGCCAGCCATATTAAATTTTGATTATAAACCATTGGTCAACAACCTGCATTATACATTGTTATTATTATTATAGTTACATTAAAAATTGATAAACATGTCTTAGACAAAATACAAATTATTCTCAATGAAAAATTGCACAAACCGCAAAGGTTTCTTGCCAAACCGTAATGCAAGTAAGAAAAAGAATTGATACAGGGGAAGAGTTGTGTCCAAGGAGACCACCTTCTAAACGCAAGAAAACACCAAGAGCGGACAGTATAATCAGAAACATCTGCCTGGAAAACAGAAAAAAAGCCACTAAGCTTATCCATGAAGTTGTAATTGTTGTGTCAGACCGGACCATTTGTAGAAGGCTAAAAGAAGAGGGATTGATGTCCAGCCGAAAATGTCAAAAATTGACAAAAAAAATTAAAAATATTAAAAATAATGTCAAAAATCTTATATTTATGCAAGATGGTTCAACTTGCCAAACAATAAAAACTTTTATGGCTTAGTTGATGTATTGCTATAGCCAGAAAAACCGCATGATCTTAACCCCATAGAAAACATTTAGGAAATAGTAAAGCAAGAGATTGGAAAAAAAATCTTACTAATAAGCAAGATCTTATGGAGGAGATTATCAAGATCTGGCATAATAATCCAATGTTGACAGAAACTATAAAAAATAAATTGCAAGCATGCCACAATGCAATGAAGTAGTTATTGCAAATAAAAGTGTTTTTGCAAAATATTTATACTTTATATATATTTTATATAATTTATCATAATAACCAATGAATATTCAAAATGTTCAACTTTATTTATTTGTTTTTATCAAGTACAACTTTATAAATAAAAGAAAAAACTTTAAATTGAACCATTATTGTAGATATATATATATATATATATATATATATATATATATATATATATATATATATATATATATATATATATATATACATATATATATATACATATATATATATATATATATATATATATATATATATATATATATATATATATATATATATATATATATATATATATATATATATATATATATATATATATATATATATCTACAATAATGACCAGAAAAAGTTTACAAGAAAAACCAGACCAGAAAAAGTTTACAAACTTAAATTATTTTTTTTTTTTAAATGATAGACTGCCTGCCCAAACTAAACCCTCAGTCTATGTAGCAGCACTCCCTTGCGAGTCAGGCTATTTGTCAGTTGTTGTAGCAGCACTCTGTTGCGCGTCAGGCTATTTGTCAGTTGATGTAGCAGCACTCCCTTGCAAGTCAGGCTATTTGTCAGTCGATGTAGCAGCACTCCGTTGCGAGTCAGGCTATTTGTCAGTCGATGTAGCAGCACTCCCTTGCGAGTCAGGCTATTTGTCAGTTGTTGTAGCAGCACTCCGTTGCGAGTCAGGCTAATTGTCAGTCGATGTAGCAGCACTCCCTTGCAAGTCAGGCTATTTGTCAGTCGATGTAGCAGCACTCCGTTGCGAGTCAGGCTATTTGTCAGTCGATGTAGCAGCACTCCCTTGCGAGTAAGGCTATTTGTCAGTCGATGTAGCAGCACTCTGTTGCGAGTCAGGCTATAAGATAGTCGATGTAGAAATACTCCCTTGTAGCAGCAGGCTATAAGATAGTTGATGTAGCAACATTTACGCATGTTTTAAAAATGTTTTTTAATATAACAAAAACAAAAACACCACTAATTAAAAAAACTTTCTAGTCGTTATTATTGCGGTTTTTTAAAATTTTTTCAAAAATTTTAAAAAACTTCCCCATTACTTTAATTGCTTTGACATTTCGACGACAATCAAATACAGCTTAAGAGACAAGGAAATTAAAATTGTAGTCGATAGTGACTTTTTTTACATTAAAAGACTCTTTTGACTACACTATAAGGATTTATATATATATAAATATATATATATAAATATATATATATATATATATATATATATATATATAAATATATATATATAAATATATATATATATATATATATATAATATATTCATAAAAGCATATGTATGTTTATATAAATACATATATATGTATGTTTATTTATATACATATATATGTATGTATATATAGAGTAAAAAAAAAGGTTAAGTATGCGTTACAAATCAACCTTTGTACTTTAAGGTTGTTCTTTAGCTCAAGGAAATACAAAAGTAAGAGAAAACAGTTACAAAAAAAATTATAATCAGACATAAAAAAAAAAGATTTATATTATGTCTGATTAGAATTCGTCAAACTTTTAAAAATATACGCTTCACATATTTTTAACACAAGTTTAAAACAAACTATAATAAAAAGATTCAAAAGATTTATTATATAAAACTACTTTTAACAAACCTTTGCATCACATTTTTTTGTATTTGTCTTAATGGTTTTACCTCCAATTTTAGAAAGTTTGTTAACCTAAAGGTTTAAGAAAATAATTACACCACATTATTTTTATAGTACATTTATAAAAAGTAGATTAACTTAGGCTAAGTTATTAATAAATACTTTTTTAAAAAACAATTAAAAAAACTGCAAAAAGTCATGGTTTGAAACAACCCATCACTTCTGACCTCACCCAAGAATTATTTAAACTGTTATCATAATCATTAAATTACTGCTGCAAGTTCATCCATAGAATTTTCAGAACTATTTGTCATGATATTACTTTAATAACTAGAAAGAGTTTTTACTAACATCTCTTTCTAACAATAAAGATATATCAGAAAGACAAAAGAACCAAACATTAATTAATTTCTAAAAGGGTTGAAACACAAGAACAAAACATTTATAAAATAAAACATTCATAAACTAAATAAAATGTATTAATTTAGAAACCAATAAAATGTGTAAATCACAGAAGCATAGAAAAAAATGTTCAGAATCTTTTCTTCCTAAATCAACTTACAGACAGACAATTAATACCTTGAGCTACAGTATGTGGAGTATGCATAAAAATTGTTTTCTGTTTCTTTTTTTGCGTTACAGGAGTAAGTACTTGCTTACTATTCTGTTGGTTATTATGTTTTTTCTTGCATAAGCATGGTAGTGGCTCCTATAAAAATTATTATTAAAATAAAACTAATAATACTTGAATTAAGTATCTTTTAAAATATTTACCGTTTTCTGAATCTGATTCTATCTGAGTATCACTAGTAGTGGCAAAATTAAATTTATCACAAAACTCATGATTTTAAATACATTATATAATAAAGAATATATAATAAAGAATATATCTAAACACTGAAAACAACATAAACAGAATGAAAGCATGTCAAAAAAACAAGGAAAAAAAGTAATGACTTATTGTTTATATAAAAAAAAATTACATAATCTCCATGACATTTAATTTTGAGCAGCGTAAATCTGTATTAGTTAGATGCGGTTTATGCATTTCATTGAAACAATTTATTACATTTAATGATGATAGCCAGCACATAAAAATTATCGATCGATTTTTCTCACTTTATTTCTCTGTATTTTCTATCCAAACAGCTCGAATGAACATTTTGCTTGCTTGTCTAACTATACTTTTTTAACTGGAAAAGAATAGTAGAAAATATAATAGACAAAATACTCATATATTAAAAATTTGTTCATGTAAAATAGCTAACAGAAAAATACAACTTTAAACTGTACGTTATGATACATTATACAATTGTTAAAAATTGCTAAATTTTTATGTTGATCCTTCTACCAACCTACTAAAGGAGCAAGCACAAATTATATATACATATATACATATATATACATATTTATATTATAAGCATATATACATATATATACATATTTATATTATATATATATGTATATATATATATAATATATATATATATATATATATATATACACACACATATATATATATATGTGTGTGTATATATATATATATATATATATATATATATATATATATATATATATATATATATATATATATATATATATGTATGTATGTATGTATGTATATATATATATATATATATATATATATATATATATATATATATATATATATATATATATATATATATATATATATATATATATATATATATATATATATATATATGTATATATATATATAAGAAAAACATATATAATATATATTTTATATTTATATAATATATCAAGTAATCTCTACTTGTAATCCACACTCATGAAATAATACGGTCATAAAGAAATATCTATTTAATATTTACCTTACTAAATGCATCACAAGTTAAGCCATGTATTATTGTTAAATTGTCAAATTCAAAACCTTATAAAAAGGCAACAGATGGCCTAATTTATTAGCATGTGTGACTTTACTTGTTTTTATTGGGCTAATAAGTAACTTTTTAAGTCTTTACTTGTTATTTGTTAAGCTAATAAAAAATACTTTAAGTCACGCATGCGTGTTTTAGTTCTCATATTGCAATTACGAACGGTCGAACTCGTAATATAGACGTTGAAATAACGTGGAATCAACGTCGATTTTATTTGATAGTTTTAAACAAATTTTTCAACGTTGATACAACGTTGATTTTTGGTTATACGACGTCGCGACTAAAAATCAACTGTAAATCAACGTCGAAATAACGTCGTGTGCCCACTGGGTATTTTTTCTTGTAATTGTTTACACAATTTAAAAAGTTCATTCTTGATGGGCAAATTATCCAAATTAAATAAGAAACTCCATATATTTACATATTCATTAAGTTGTTCAAATCTTTCATTTATTGACGACAGACATGTATCTAATAAAGGGTTTAAAAATGTCACTTCTAGTTTCTTCTTGGGATTTTGAATTGGTTCGTCAGCAGCATTTTCATCATAATGACGTTTCACTCGTCGTACTCTTTTAAGCGGCAGCAAATATTGCATCGATGTTTAACTCTTCAGCTAACTCTTTGGCATCAACCGTTGCTTGTTTAAAGCCAAACGTCCTGTAATTTTCCAAAAAGGTGATGCATTTTTTCAACACTGTACTAGATCCATGTCTTTATTTGGAATAGTACATTGTACCATGCAATTAAAGTTCTGCTCAGCTAATGTTTGCACTTCGTGTGCAATATCGGGAGTTTTGGTTTCAGTTTCATATATAGTAATTAAAGCATCATCTACGCTGCTTATTTGGTATCGGATGGCTTTGAGGCTCTCAATTTTGGCTTCCCAACGAGTGTCGCATAATCGTTTAAGAGTGAAGTTTGTTGTATAACTAAGTAAAACATTCCAGCGTGAAGTTGATGCAGAAAATAATGTGAATAATAATTGTATTATGCCAAAAACGTTAATGGAATTTAGTGAAGATACGCAGCGTCACAAATAACCAAATTTAGAGAATGACTTCCACATGGAAGGTAAAAAGCTAAAGGATTCAAATCTAATATTCGCTTTTGTAGACCTATTTTTTTACCTTTCATATTTGCACCGTTATCGTAACCTTGCCCTCGACAAAAGCTTATATTCAGTCAAAAATATCTGGTTGATGTATCAGTAAGTCCATGCGCAACATTTTCTCCTTCCTTTATTTTATTACAATCACTATTTTACCGATGTAAAAAATTTTCAAGTTTTTTATAATTTTTCTTCAAATTATCAACTTTTTCTGCTTTACGTTTTCTGTATTGAGCACCAGATGGTTTCTTATTATTATGAGTTTTAAAAACATTTTTTTCTTTATTATGAGTACTCTCCATTGATTGCTGCTGACAGTTTCTATTTGTCTAAAATTTAAAAATAAAAAATTACTCGCAAGCTAATAATTCATAAACAATTTCATTATTTATACTTGCCTGCTTTTTATTACCGCAAAATTTGAAAACTTGACAAAAACTGAATTTGAATCACAAATACAACTTTAAATTTCTTCTACAAATTAATAAACAACGCGCTCGCAACTCGCACCGAAAATAATGTTTAAAATTTAAACTTTGAATAAATGGAACGCAAAATAATTGGCGCCGAGAAAGATACAAGTAAAAAAATGAATTTAAGTAACAAAATATAAGCTATGATTAAAACACTTTTAATCAAACTATTAATTTTGCATAAAGAATTTTTAACAGTGTAATAATACAATAAATAAATTATTTAAAGAAATTATTTTTATAAAAAAAAAAAAACATTCGAAAAAATAACAAAAAGTCGAAAATCGAAATCGAAAAAATTTAGGTTGACTTATTTTTTCTATTTATTATATTGTTAAAGTTTGCATACAACGTTTGGCGCCCAGTTTCCTGGCGCCCTTGGGCGGTGCCCAACCTCGCCCCCCCTCCTAAGGCCGGCACTGTATATATATATATATATATATATATATATATATATATATATATATATATATATATATATATATATATATATATATATATATATACATGTATATATATATATACATATGTATATATACATACATATACATGTATGTTGATTTATGTACATATATATGTATGTATATATAGAGTAAAAATAAGGTTAAGTATGCGTTACAAAACAACTTTTGTACTTTAAAGTTGTTCTTTAGCTCAAGGAAATACAAAAAAAAATCAAAAAAAAAAAAAAGATTCATTTTATGTCTGATTAGAATTCGTCAAATTTTTACAAATATAAACTAAACATATTTTTATAACAAACTATAATAACTAGATTCAAAGGATTTTTTGTTCAAAACTTTTTACTAACCTTTGCATCACATTTTTTGTAATTATCTTACCTCTTATTTTAGAAAACTTGTTTACCTAAAGGTTTAAGAAAATAACTAGATCACATTATTTTTATATTACATTTACAAAAAGTTACAAGTAGATTAACTTCGGCAAGTAGATAATCGATAAAAAAACATTAAAAAAAAAAGGTTCAAAAAGTAATGCTTTAAAAATGCAAAAAGTAATGGTTTAAAAAAACCTACCATTTCAGACATCAACCGTTTAAACTGTTATCATAATCCCTAAAGAGTTAAGAAAATAATTACATTATAATACATTTATAAAAAGTTACAAGTAGATTAACTTAAGCAAATACATAATCCCAAAAAAACAATAAAAAAGCTGCAAAATGTCATGGTTTAAAATAACCTACCTCCAGATCTCACCCAAAAATCATTTAAGCTGTCAACATAATCACTAAATGACTGCTGCAAATTCATCCATCAAATTTCAGGACTATTTGTCGTGATATTATTTTAAATACTGGAAAGAGCTTTACTAACATCTCTTTCAATTCTACCAGTGCATATATAACTTTCTTCTGTAATTCTATTCTATATTCTAAAATAATAAAGATATAACAGGAACACAAAAGAACCAAACATTAATTATTTTCTAAAAACATTGAAACACAAAAACAAAACACACTGTATCAAAATATCTATTTATTAAATAAACAAAATTATTGGGTTTTGAAAAAATATATTTCTTCTAATGTCTTAAAGATAATTACTTTTTTTACTAATTAATAAAATGAATGCATACCATAATAAATACCAAATATTTCACATACCTTCCTCAATAAAGGGAGACTTTCCATTCGATGGGGAATCTTTTTTAGTAGCTTTTCTTATAAGGAAATTAATGCAGGTGTCTCTAGCAAAACAACTTTTTTCTTTTCTGCGGAAAAACACATGTGTTATCTTGGCTTTGTACTATAATAAAATTTTCTCTTTCCTCAGGAAAACCTTGCCATTGCTGATCTAAATATCTTTAAAATCAAAAAGTAAATGATTCAATGTAAAAAAATAATCAACACTAGAATACTAGAAATAAAAAAGCTTTTACTAAATGCTAATATGAAAATAAATGTCATAACAATGAAATAAAATGTCATAACAAACAAATAAAAGTCAACAATAAAAAAATAATTTTAAAACACTCATAAATTAAATAAAATATATTATTTAACAACAAATAAAATGTGTAAACTACTGAAGCATTGAAAAAAACATTCGAATCTCTTCTTCCTAAAATAACTTGCAGACAGACAATCAATATCTTGAGCTACAGTATGTGGAGTATGCATAAAAGTTTTTTTCTTTTTCTTTTTTTGCGTTAAAGGAGTAGGTTTTTGCTTACTATTCTGTTGATTATTTTTGGTTGGATTATGTTTTCTCTTGCATAAGAATGGTAGTGGCTCCTATAATAAACAATATCAAAATAAGACTAGTAATACTTGAATAAATTTTTAACTTAAGTTTAAATCTTTTAAAATAGTTCTATCTGAGTATCACTAGTAGTGGCAAATTCAAAATTATCACATAACTCATGATCTAAGAATAATCATTCAATTCAAAACTATGTTTTAAATATATTATATAATAAAAAATATATTAAACACTAAAAATAACATATACAGAAATAGAGCATTTTAAAGAAGAAAGGAAAAAAAGTAATGACTTGATGTTGATATTGACTTGATGGAGATAATATAAAAAAATTATATTATCTCCACAACATTTAATTTTGAGCAGCTTAAATCTGTATTAGTTAGACTGCGGTTCATGCATTTCATTGAAACAATTTAATACATTGATGAATGAATGGTGATGGCTAACACAAAAAAATTTCAATCATATTTTCTCTTTATTTCTCTCTATTTTCTATCCAAACAGCTCAAATGTACATTTTGCTTGCCCCACTATACTTTAAAAACTGGAAAAGTTTATTTTTAAAAACAACACTTTTTATTCTCATACATAAAATATTTGTTAGTGTAAATTAGCTAAGAGAAAAATACAACTTTATATTATATATTATATAGCTGCCTAGTGAAATTTATATTGAAATTAAAGTGTTAAAATGTTTTACCTATGGGTCTGCGAAGTTTCGAAATTTCGATTTGAATCAAATCGAAAATGTGATTCAAGTTACGATTCAAAAATTTTCAAAAATCGAATACTTGCTTATTTTGTTTGTTTTTTGTGGTTATTTTAGAAATTCTGCGCTTTGGCGCTATCAAAATAACGTTACTTTTCCTTAAAAACCTTTTTAATCAGTCATTAAAAAGTTTAACCAGGCAAAAATCATCAATAAAGAGATTATACAATTGTTTTATTTATTTTATTCTAAAATATATATTATTAAATAAAAAAATGCTTAAATTTAGACTTCAAAATGTTAATTCGAAATGTGATTCGAATTGCGAATCAAGACCTGCTTTGATTACAGATTCAATTCGAAACAAAAACTGCCGTTTTTGTTTCGAACTGAAAAATTTTCGAATTTTGTATCGATCCTACATTTACCATGAATCTTTAAAAAGCCTTAAAAAGTACTATTTTCTTTATAATAACAAAATTTATTACAATTATTTAAAAAAATAACTTGATATAAAATTAAGATAATTTTTTGGTAACTCTTTTTTTAGAAATCATAACAAGCTTTATTTAAGAGTTAAATTTATAGATTAAATCAAAACAAAATTAAATTTATTTACCAACACAAGATATCAAGCTAAAATAATTTTATTTTTTCGCTTGTAGCGATTTCGCGTTGAAACATGCTTAAAATGGTGACTTTCTAATATAAACAGAGATTATTTATTGGCTTCACTGCATACATCATCTATCTTATAGTCTGCTGCTACAAGGAAGTGCTACTACATCGACTATCTTATAGCCTGCTGCTAAAAGGAAGTGATGCTACATAAACCGCCTGGGTTGTTATGTCATTAGTAGCCCGGCCCGGCCCGACTATATTATACTTATACTTGCTCCAACCCAAACCCTCAGTCCATGTAGCAGCATTCACTCACATGTTTTTCCTAAATCAGTCAATTTAGCAGCACTCTCTTACATTTCTCCCTAAATCAGTATGATATCTGGTCTCCGTTTTTCTTCGTTATTGCAAGAATCTAGAATAGTATACTTCAGGCAAAAAAAAAACTTAAAATAATTTTCTTATAGCAAAATTTATTGCTTGCCACGGAATTTTAAAAATAAAATAAAAATCAAATTTTTTTTAAAACTAAATTTTTTTTGCTTATTTTGTTTTTAATAAAATTTAAAATTACCGTTTGTAATAAAATAAAAATTAGTTAAAATATTTTTTAGGGGTTTCGGCTAAAAAATGTCACTTTTGACCCACTGCGCGACGTACAAAACCTATATCAGCATATTAAATCCTATTAAAATATATGATAAAACAGCTGTTAAAAAATGTGCCTTTTACCGCGACGCTAGATTTATATAGTTTTATGCTTGTTTTGTAAAAAATATTAACTTTGATTTATAAATTATAAAATATCAACATATCCCCCCGTTCAATAGATTTTAGAAAAATTCCCATCCCCCTTTCTTTTATTAACACCCACCCTCTTCCCACTTCTCTCTCCCCCCTTCCTTCCCCTGTTAATTAGATCTTGAAGAAAATTCCTCCTCCCCTTGTATTAAAGTCTCGAAAGTAATTTATATTTAGTTCAATTTAGTTAGTAGGATTACTCGTTTTAAATTTAGTTTGTAATTAGTTTTATTGAATTTATATAATTTAGTGCAATTTTTCGTTTAATATTCAGTATAATTCAGGGCCGACAACACCAGGCGGGCCAGGGGATCCCTTGTGTCGTCGTATTTTAGAAATTAACGACTGTGCCCCCCACCCCACTATGAAATCCGTATCGTCGGCCCTGTAATTTAAATGGCTTAGTAGAGTTATTCGTATTATATTTAGTTTCTATTTAGTTCAAGTTAATTTATACAATTTTGTAAAATTATTAGTTTTGTAATCGACTTCGACTAAACTGACCAAAAGTCGACTAACTTTGGCTTTCGACTAGTGTGTATCTATTTGATTGAAAAATCAAATTGTTAATTTTTCAATCGAATTTGATTGAAAAACTAAATTGAAATTTATTTGACTATGGACTTTCTACTAATCGAATAAAAGTCAATTTAGTCGAGTTAAAATTGTTAAACATATTTTCTTTTCATTCGATTTAACTTTTCAATCTTTAATTTTTGTTTGTTATATTAAAAACAATGGAATGTATTATTATAACTCAGTAGCGGATTAAGACTTCTTGGGGCCCGGGGCTATTTTTGTTTTTGGAGGCTTTTTTATGGGCCAGTAGCTAAAAATGACTTTAAAAAAAAAAAAAAAGTCCTCCAAAATTTTGGGGGCCCCTAAATTTGCGACACCTGGGCTATAGTCCCCCCTAGCTACCCCTTGATCCGCGACTTTTATAACTAATATCTAGTTTTTTGTTTACTCTTTTAAAGTTTTATGTAATTCATAGTATTTTTGCATTATTTATATCTAGTTAAACTTTTGATTATGTATTTCATTAATTCTTTTTCTTTTGCTTACTCGATGCTTGTGATTTTTATAACTATTTTTATACATGGCTAAGCTAACTTGGGGTCATAGAACTGAATTAGGTTTTAAAGCTTCATAATCTAAATGTCATTAATCTATGCAATCACATTGTAAATATATGATTGTAATGACTTTTTGATATATAGCAAGTATTTAAAGCGTTTCTAATATGTTTATTGCAAGTGCGATTTAAAAAAAAAAATATTTCAAGGGGTTAATGTGCCACCCCCAACCCCTGTCGCCCCACACTCATTCTTCTAGCTCTCTCCCCCAAGACGCTAAACCTCAATCCGCCACTGATTCTTACATGATTGTTAAAATAACTTTAACCCCTAGTCATAGCCGTACTTATGAAAACATTTTTGTAGTTATCTGAAATTTTTAATTATTTTGCTGATGTATATAATATGTTTCTTTAAAGAATATCTGATTGTTCATCTATAGTTTATCAAATATTTCATCAATAATTTATCTGATAATATATCGATATTTCATCGATAGTGCAACGATAATTGATATTAGTTTAAGGACATAGATTTAATACGTTTAACAAAATAGTCTCAAGTTTTTCATCAGATGCTATAGTAGTTAAGATGATCTGAACCATTTCTTTTTGCTAATTTTCTTACTTACATCTGATAACTTTGAAGTACTTTTTTTTCTTGCTTCTTTTTGTGCTGTTGCTCAATGTCAAATGCGTTAATAACTTGTTAGTTATTCAATGAAATTTTTTTATTTTGCTTGCAACTGTAACCCAACTAGATTCAATATTGCTAGTTGTTGTATTAGTTTGACCAATTTTTTTGCCGACCATTTTGCAGATTCTACTTTAATAAGTTTAACTACGAAAGGAGAAAAATAAACAGAAACATCTAAAAAAAAATTTATCGATAGAATTATAAATTATAGATACAGAATTAAAAGTTTAAAAACCCTACAACAATATGTTATTTAAGTTAAAGTAAAAACAAAAACTTAGATTATATGATATGCATTTTTTACAATAACAATTTTTTTATTTAATAAGTATAATATATCTTTACTTAGATATGTATAAAGAGTTAGAAGAATAAAAAAACTATATTACTAACAATTACTTAAAGTAAAATCGAAGTAACATAAAGGCATAATGTAAACAATATTTAGTAAAAAGAATAGTAAGTTGGGAAAGTGTAATTAAAATTTTTAAAGGGTTTTTATTAAAATGCAAATAATAATCTTAAAAAAACAAAGACAATTATGAAAAAAAATAACAACAACAACAATTGGAAAACTTACGCTTAAGCAAAAAATTCAAATATATATATATATATATATATATATATATATATATATTCATATATATATATATATATATATATATATATATATATATATATATATATATATATATATATATATATATATATATATATATATATATATATATATATATATATATATATATATATATATATAATCAGAAATATCGAATGGGGATGAGGAACTTGATGTTACTGGTGAAAAAACAATGGTCATAAGTTGTACACTCTACTAAACAATCCCTGTTTTTAATATAAATCTTTGAAAAACAATTTTTAAAACCATGACTTTTAAAACTGTTCTTTGAAGTCTCATATCAAAAAAGGATATATCAATACTTTGATGCTTGCAAGGATATGTTGCATTTCAGGATGTGATCCATTTCAACTAACAAGTAACATTAAACTTTCTTCAATTTTTTGTCACTTTAATTTGAAATTAGTTGCAACCAATGCTAGAAAAATTATGGAACCTTGAAATGAATAGGTCCAATTGCATTAACCATTAAAAACCTCTAAATGTTCATTTAAAAAAATCAACTTTCTCGGCAGCAAATTTTTGTGATTCTCACTTTAATAATTTCTGGCAAAAATTCTTTTCCTAATCATACAGTTGCAACTGGTTTAACAGTTTACCCTAAGGCAATTTGATCATTTAAAACCATCCTTTGTCAAAGCAACTTTGTTGTGTGAAAGCGTCTGGTCAAAAAAACTTAGCGTCTAAGGACCACCAATATGTAAATTTAACATTACCCAGGGAAACAGTTCTTTTATTTCGGCGAAAAAAAGTTTTATGTAAGTTATACCAAGTTGAGGATAACGGCAGATTACACCAGGTTGATGGAAATAAGCGCTTTCATACAAAACTTGAGTTTTCCGAAATAAAAAACAGTTTATTTCAACAAAATATCTTTGAAAGAGTAAATTGTCAATATAAAAAAAAGAGTTTGTCTATGTAATTTAATATATACAAAAAAAAAAAATTAAAACTAAAAACAGTTGTAATTTTTTATATTTATATAAGTGAGATCTTTTAGATATCAAATAAGATCTTTTATTGAGATCTTAGATCTTTTTATTACAAAAGATTTTTTTTTTTCGAAATGCGTTTAATTTAATAAAATTTTACTTTATAATAATAAAAAAATATTTCATAAATACAAAAATCACACACACACACACACACACACATATATATATATATATATATATATATATATATATATATATATATATATATATATATATATATATATATATATATATATATATATATATATATATATATACATATATATATATATATATATATATATATATATATATATATATATATATATATATATATATATATATATATATATATATATATATATATATATATATATATTTGAACAATAATATCATAAAATAATATAATATCAGTATTAAAGAGAAAAAAGCCAACCTTCCATTAAGTCTTACAATTATTATAATTTTTTTTTTGCAAAAATTACTTAGAAAGTTAATCGTAAAGCTATTCGTATCATTAGTGGCAAAATCAATTGTATAAAATTAAAATGCTTTCTCAATATACTTATAAACATTAGGCGATATGGTCAACACTTCTGTTTATTTCACTCTTTATTATGAGTAAACTTTTTGTAAATGATTTTTCACGCGCAGAACGTTTTTTAAATATACCATCCTTCCAGTAATAAATAACAGGGTTTACTAGAGCAGACAGCTTAGCAAATAAAGCAGCTACTTGAAGAAGCCATTTTGGCGTTTTAACAGACGTAAAAGCGGTTAAACAACCAATCGTCGCGTATGGTGTCCAACAAACTATAAACGACAAAACCATTAGTAGAAAAGAAGATATTGCTTTTTTTTCCTTCTCTTTGAATAACTTTGTTTCTACATTTTCTTTACCGTAAGTTACATAAAAGTAGTTATACTTTGTGACAATCACGTGTGCTGTAAATATACAGGAAGTGATAATTATTGTAACGGGAATGCAAAAACCAAAAGCAAAAATCAAGATTAAATAAGCCTTTTCTATAATAGTTTTGGGAGAAAAGTTAATTGAACATCGAGATTGAGTATCTTCTAGTGTATATGATGAAAATCCTACTAGGGGCAAAGTGGCCCAAAATAATCCATAAATCCACGAGAAGATTCCAATTTTTATAAATAACTTTTTATAGTTAATTAGGTTGCTAGAAAAACATGAGCTTAGTAGTACCATTCTTGAAAGTGCTATTCCAGCGTGCATTGCTATAGTTGCAAATGAAGGAAAAGCAACAAAAAAGGCAGTTAGCTTGCAAAATGTAGTAGCTTTTTGTAAATTTGTATCAAGAAAGAGATCTGGTATATACCCTGCAATGCTCTGTAATATGTCAGCAAAAGTCAAATTAATACATAATATGACGTAGTTGCTTTTACGTTTTTTGCAAAGAAAATATAATGAAGTAGTATTAGTAAAAATAGCAATCGTAATTATTATTACAAGGTTTATTTTGACTGGATCCATTTTTTTATTAAAAAAAACGGTATTCAAATAAAGATGTACCGATTAAATATTCAAAATTATTTTTTTATAAACAGGGTTTTATTGATGTTTTGATTACTAAGACAACGTTTTTAAAAAAAACAACCAAAGTTAATAAACAAATTGAGTTGAGTGAAACAAATTGTTCAATTGCAATTCTTGTACATCAGAATCGTCGTTAAGTGGATAAAATAAAATTGCAGAATACAATTAAAAACTAATATATATATATATATATATAAATATATATATATATATATATATATATATATATATATATATATATATATATATATATATATATATATATATTCATATATATATATATATATATATATATATATATATATATATATATATATATATATATATATATATATATATATATATATATATATATATAAATGCGATTTTACGGGTGTGAGTGGGGGCGTTATCCCCTCCTCCTGAAGAAGGTAATTTTCAAATTATAGTTGGTTTTTTCACAATTTTAGTCGGCTAGTCGCGTATTGAACACAATTCAGTCGGTTAAATTTTCGTTTTGAGGACCTTTTTCTTTTTTAAGAAGCCAGTCGGTACTTTATGAGGGTTCACACCCCTTCATTTTGTTCGTAGAATCGCCTCTGTATATATATACATTAAGACGTTGAACTATGGTTCAATATATAGCCAGAATTACAAGTCATATTTAAAATATTTTTATTGATTTCTTTATATATTATATTTACAATATTGACAACTTTGAGACAGATAACACTGTGAAACATATTTTTTGTTTTTTGGTTTCAGTTGGTTTTATTTCAAGCTTCCTTCATTATAAGTTTTAATTTTGTAAATAGTATTGCATTAATATAGCATTAAAACTATTTGCTACTTGAGTAATGTGTTCAACATCGTTTCAGAACTGTTTTTAACATAATCGTTCTTATAGTGTTAAAAATAATGTAACATTATTGAAAGTATTTTGTTAAAATGTTGGTTGATGAACATATTGATGTAATTACTTTACGTACAGTGGCTGATGTGAAAAAAAATTAAAAACAGCGGAAATTAAACAGTCACTTATATCTTCAATAAGATATCAATAACTAAAACATCAATAAACTTTGTAATAAAGAATTTCACTCATATGAAACTGATACTAATCAATTTATTCAGCGATCTATTAATTCAAAGATTAAAACCTTGAATTATTAAACAAAATCTTTTTTATATATAAAAATTCAAAAAAAACTGAATAGACATTTTGAAAATATATATTGAGGACAGCAAATTTTAAATCAATAATGGAGCTATAAACATAAATAAATTAAGTTATAAAACTAAATTGCAATAACCGAACTGCAAATCTCTGAAATACAATCAAGTCTTTAAAAGTTTTAGCAAATTTCACCATTAAATATGTAAATGTATATATATATATATATATATATATATATATATATATATATATATATATATATATATATATATATATATATATATATATATATATATATATGTATATATATATCTATATATATTATATATATATATATATATATATATATATATATATATATATATATATATATATATATATATATATATATATATATATATATATATATATATATATATATATATATATGTATATATATATATATATATATATATATATATATATATATATATATATATATATATATATATATATATATATACATGTACATCATGATTATGTTAAAATGAATATTTTTTTAACCAAAATTCTTATACATTACAAGCTGAGTGTAATAAAGACAATAGTATAATTTGTACTTACTTTCACCACCTGATCAAACATATAAATGGAAAATGACTTCCTCTGTCACCGCTCATATATTGACAATAACTCAAACTCAAAAATTACTGACTAGAATTTTCAGTTGTCTGTAGTATACATCTTCAATGGATGTAATGATCTTTGTCTAAAATTAAAAAAATAAAGATACAAAACATTTTATTGTTTCAGTGTTTTTAATGATTTTAATGAGTCTTTAATGAGTGTTTGTTTCATTGTTGTATTTTCAGAACAACAAAATTTTTTTTCTGTCTGATGCGAAAACAGTCCAGTTTAGCTGTTCACGGTGGTTAGTACAATTCAAAGGAGCATTTAGTGCATTAGAATTATTTAGATCCTGCGACGTTTATACTTAGAGTTTTATCTGCTGCAGAAAACAAAAAAGAACTTTCTATATTGATTAGACATGTGTTTAATTTGTTCAACTTGTTCCGATTCTACTAACTACATTACAAGTTACAGCAGCTAAGTTGAATTTTGAAAGTTTAATTCCGTGGAAAAAAAATTATACCTAATAAAAGCTTAAAGTTTAAGAAAAACAACTGTTTGAGTCTGGTCTGTGTATTTAATAATTTATTAAGCTGTGTATTTCTAGGGTTTTCTTACGACGCAGAATTGTTTTAAGATTTATTTAAATTAATCAATAGCGAGGAATCAGTTAGTACCATCAAGCTAAATATTTAGAAATTTATTTTTTTCGTTTTTCATACTTACCAACATTAACTTTGTAATATAAAACTTCACTCATTTTGTTTTATTTAACATTGTCGAGGCAATAAACAAGTCTGCTAAAAAATTTGTCACAAGATGGTGGTCATGGTCTGCGTTATGCTATCATGAAAGTGGCAAAGGTCACTTCATTTTATAAACTTTATGTGACAAAAACGATTTTGAATTGTTTCATTATATCAAGAAAGTTATAAAAGGATGAGTTGAATGATCAACGTTTGGTTTTTGTTTTGTAATTTATTTTTTTAATACTTTTTTTTAAGTTTTTTAATGCAATTTGAAGATTATACCTTCAAAACTAAATTTATTAAGTAAAAAAATATAGCAAGTTACATTTGCAGATATATATAATGTAAAATTTAAGATTGCGTACTCAATTTAAGGATGCGTACTACAGCTAAAAACTAAAATTAAGGATTCGTACTATAACTTATGAGTAAAAACTAAAAAGTCTATTAAGAGACAGAGCTTAGAGAAACTTGTAGAATTTTTATTTAAAAGACAAACAACATAATTATTATTTTAAAGTAGCGCATCTGATTGTCCAAATTTTATTTTAAAGGCGGAGTCAATATATATATGTTTTAAATATCATTCTTGAGTGTCAATAAGTAATATTTTTGTTTCAGAGTAAATTTTGTATTAATAGATTCATATAAATTTTATAATACTTGGTATATCTATACACACAAAAAAATGATTTTCAATATCATTAATTTGCCCTATATTACGGGATGATCTGGATCCGCCCCTGCCCTCCACAAGATTAAAATTGCACATGGTCTTTAAACATCCTTGACAAAATTTTTATCAAGTTAAAACAGACTCTTGTTATGTCAAAGTAATCGCACTTACCAACAAAAAAATCTTTCAAGCTTATATAGGCCTATTAATATCTAATGAACTTTTCGTCATAAAGTAGGTTTAGTTGTAAATATTTTATGTTATAGATGGAGTTATTATCTTTTATAAGGTGTTTCCACAAATGTAATTTTTCATACTGCCCTATGAAATTCCTTAAAGTAAATCTGTTGCTTTTTCATAAATTTTGATGGTTTTTAATTTTATTAAAGAAAATATAACACGAATAGAAAAACTTAGTTATTTAAAAAACTAAACGAGTAAATTAAAAATTTCCAAAAACCAAAAAATCAAATTACATATTCTTATCAACTTTAATAAAAGAATAAATAATTTTATTTTTGAGTAATATTTTTTTGTTATTTTTTTCTTAATTTTATGTTTTTCTAATTATTATATTTCTTAAAACTAATAGTTTTGTTGTTTAATTTGTTAAAACTGTGAACTTTGTTGTTTAATTTATTAAAACTGTTAGTTTTGTTATTATATTTGTTAAAACAGTTAGTTTTGTTGTTATATTTACTAAAACTGTTAATTTTGATGCAGATTGAACACCAATACTAAATATTTGAAAGCGCTACCGCAACCTTCCGCATTTTTAGAAACCCAAAACCACTACCGCTTTTTCACTACTTTATTAAAATTTAAAATTAGTAACGCTAGTCCTCTTCTAGACCGCTACGAAAACAATTTTTAACTTTATTTTTTTTAAAAAGCGAAAGAAAAAAAAGTAATACCCTTCTCCTCCATGTTGAGTTTTTGTTAACCATATGAAATGATATAAAGTGACGCTTTTATTTTTTATTTTTTAGCGTTTTACGCTTTTAGTGTTTTACACTTAAGTTAAATTTACTTAATGTTAGTAACTGTTTTAATGAATAGTTGTAACTTTAATGTCGCCAGGATCTGCCTGGTTACTCTTGTTGAATTCGTGCGAAAAGTCTAATGTTTAGGTGTTGATTATATTCAAAATGTCCCTAATAATGCACCTTTTTCCTTCATTTATTGTCCACTGTGCTATTTTTATGGCAGATGTACCTGACAACTTGCAGCTTGTAATAAGGATGCATAAAATAATGGAAATATTTTTCAAATTTAAATGTTATAGAAAATTTAGATATTAGTTATCCTTAAATACCAGCAAGTTCATTCTCTGAGCTGCACAACGACGGTGAATTTTTATTCTATATATATATATATATATATATATATATATATATATATATATATAAATATATATACATATATATATATATATATATATATATATATATATATATATATATATATATATATATATATATATATAAATATATATATATATATATATATATATATATATATATATATATATATATATATATATATATATATATATATATATATATATATATATATATATATATATATATATATTATATATATGTATTTAGAAAAAATTATGCGATAGTTAATTCTTTTTTGTAAGCGAATGTAAAATTTATAGTTTAAGTTTTTTTTTTTTTTAAATGGTTGATATGCATCTATAACTGGGTTTTTTGATGTTTAGGAATTTCATTTACAGTAAAATTAAACGCAAAGGTGGAATAAA